CTGGTTATGGTGAGTCCTGCCCTCCCCACCATCTCCCCCAGCGCCCCATCCGTGGAATGCACCCCCGAGAGAGGTCCGCCTGGTGCCGTCATTAGTTTTTCAGCTCCAGACTAAGTCCTTTTCATTTAAAACTTATTTTAATTGCTAAATTATTGTATTATTAGGATTTTAAATTAGCCGAGAATGCACCAGGGGTTTTAAATGTTTTTTTTCCTTTTAAATTGTTATATTGTTATTGTTTATGCATGTTTTTTTGTATTTTTTGTGAGCCGTCCCGAGGCTTTGCTGCGATGGGGGCGGCATAGAAACGTTTTAGATAAAGTAAAAATAAATAAAGCGAGTAATGCTCCCAAGAGGCTGAAGACCTCCCTCATGCACATTTGCTGGAGGATCACTGGCTTGACCGGAGCATGGCTCCGTCCCATTGGCACTGTGACGTGGGTGAGCGTCAATGCTCCGATTTGCATGAAGGGGCCGTGCTTCCACCGTGAGGGATTTAAGAGGCAAAGCGGGAGGCAGCCCGGCCAGGACTCCTTCCCTCCGGAACCCCGAGCTCCTCTAGAGAGGTCAGCATGGCCTGGGCTCTGCTCTTCTGGACCCTGCTCAGCTGTTGTGCAGGTAAGGCCTTGAAAACCCACGTCACGGTGGCCCAGTGGGCAACAGAAACATTAACAGCCTGTGCACAGCATGGGAGATGGAGAATTTCCCAGAACTGGATAACTTGTGCAGAAGTAACGCTGTTTTCCTCCTTTCTCCACAGCTGTCAGCGCACAAAAAATCCTCACTCAGCCTCCTTCCCAGTCCGTGTCTCCGGGGCAAACAGTCAAACTCCCCTGCACTGGAAGTGGTGGCGGCAGCTGGAACTATTTCAGCTGGTACCGACAGCAGCCTGGGCAGCGTCCCCAGTTCGTGCTGTATGGAAGCACCAAGGGGGAAGGGATCCCGGATCGGTTCTCGGGTTCCAGCTCTGGGAACCCCAACTATCTGACCATCACCAACGCCCAGCCAGAGGATGAGGCAGACTATTACTGTGCTGCCTGGGA